CTGCTCTCCTTGGCTGTGAATCCGTGCGTACCGGGCTGCTCCGATGGGGTCCGCGGCCGGACCACACAGAGGGACGGGAAGACCAGAGGCTGCCCCAGGCACAGGAAAGCCACGCAGTGTCAGAAACCAGCAATCTTGGTTTCTGCTTCTCCGAAGAACCCTGTCTTAAATTCTTAAGCAAGATTCTGTCTTAAATTAGCCTGTGATCTTGAGCAAGTCTGTGATTTTCCTGAGAAAATTCTGTGTCTTCATCTACAAGGAGAATAGTTAAGGCCGGCCTGCATTTATTTCCAAGTGATGTGGTTAAGAAGCTGCTGGACCCCGATGCTGGGCTGGTGCTGCCCTAACTGGAAACACAGGGGGCGGGAGCCGGCGAGGGGGGCGGCCGTGGAGGGATGCAGAGCCCGGCCCGGGATGCGGGGACGTGGGCGCCTCAGGGACAGGCCGTCCCTCTCCTGAGCCCCTCCTGCAGGCCCTGCGGTCCTGGGCTGCCCCACGCGAGCTGACAGTGGGTCCCGCTGCCACCATCAGCAGGCGTCTGTCGAGAAAGAAGGCTGCTTCCAGGAGCGCGGTGAATCCAAGACCCGTAGGCGCCGGACATCCTGCCTAAGAGCGAGGGCTCCTCACTGGATGGAAGGAGCGCCTGGGGCCCCTCCGGACCCCGTCTCCTCTCAACAACTTCTCCATTGAAGAACATCCCTGATGAGGACCGGGAGACGGCGCCCAACTCCTGTGCCACAGCTGCCTGCCGCGAACAGCAGGCACCGCGTGGACCTGCCACGCGGCCTCTGCGTGGGAAGGTGAGTCTGGGCCTCCGTGGGGCTGCGCTCTGAGGGCTGCCAGGCGCAGCGTGAGAAGGGGTGCAGATGGACACATTCCCCTTCTACGAGCGGAGAAGGGCAGCACTCCAGGGCCGCTGGATCCAGCTGTGTACGCAGACCCGAGGATGCAGGATGCGTGGGAACCCTGGGCGGAGCTGAGGGACGGGAAGACCAGAGGCTGCCCCAGGCACAGGAAAGCCACGCAGTGTCAGAAACCAGCAATCTTGGTTTCTGCTTCTCCGAAGAACCCTGCCTTAAATTCTTAAGCAAGATTCTGTCTTAAATTAGCCTGTGATCTTGAGCAAGTCTGTGATTTTCCTGAGAAAATTCTGTGTCTTCATCTACAAGGAGAATAGTTAAGGCCGGCCTGTATTTATTTCCAAGTGATGTGGTTAAGAAGCTGCTGGAGCCCGACGCTGGGCTGGTGCTGCCCTAACTGGAAACACAGGGGATGGGAGCCGGCGAGGAGGGCGGCCGTGGAGGGATGCAGAGCCCGGCCCGGGATGCGGGGACGGGGGCGCCTCAGGGACAGGCCGTCCCTCTCCTGAGCCCCTCCTGCAGGCCCTGCGGTCCTGGGCTGCCCCACGCGAGCTGACAGTGGGTCAGACAGCAGGCGTCTGTCGAGAAAGAAGGCTGCTTCCAGGAGCGCGGTGAATCCACCAAGACCCGTAGGCGCCGGACATCCTGCCTAAGAGCGAGGGCTCCTCACTAGATGGAAGGAGCGCCTGGGGCCCCGCCGGACCCCGTCTCCTCTCAACAACTTCTCCATCGAAGAACATCCCTGATGAGGACCGGGAGACGGCGCCCAACTCCTGTGCCACAGCCGCCTGCCGCGGACAGTCCCCTTCTGCGAGCGGAGAAGGGCAGCACTCCAGGGCCGCTGGATCCAGCTGTGTGCGCAGACCCGAGGATGCAGGATGCGTGGGAACCCTGGGCGGAGCTCGGCCATAGCGTGGAGGGGCGGGGCCTCTGCTCCACGGGAACTCTACAGAGGGTCCGCGGACCTTCCTTGATGGGCATCCTCATGGATCTGGAGGCCCAATCACCAAAGCAGAACCAGTTTGTTTGTTTGTTTGTTTTAAATCAATGTAGTAATCATAAGAGATGATACAGAATCACCCAGTTCAAAAACTAAACAGTCCAAGTTGGTGTCTGGTGAAAGCTTCGCTCTCATTCTGCTCCCGGCACCAAGTTAAGTGCCATTCTTATGAGCTTTCTTCGCGCGTGGTGGACAAGCTCATTCAGAACCTTTTGGGCTCTAATCTCCTTGTTTTTCCTTTTTTTTTTGCAGAAAAGGTGGCATTGTATGCAAACTGTTCTGAATTTGCTTTTTTCATTTATCTAAGGGAATCTTTCTGCTTCAATATATACAGAACTGTGCAGCATATTTTTAAATAGCTACACATACATGTCACCAACTTACGTTTAGCAGTTCTTTATTAATGGTGACGGGTGGGGAGTTGTTTCCAAACAATACCACAATGTGCCTCTCTCATTTCACATATGTGCAGTTAAATCTGTAAGATGAATTCTTAGAGGTAGGATTTCTGGGTCACACAGAACATGCCCTTGTCATTTTGAGAAATGTTTCTATTAGGCCATGTCTAAGAGCATTCTCGGGCTTCCCAGGTAGCTCAGTGGTAAAGAATCCACCTACCAATGTAGGACATGCAGGAATTGCAGGTTTGATCCTGGGTTGGGAGGATACCCTGGAGGAGGACATAGTAACCCTCTCTTGTATTTGCCTGGAAAATTCCATGGGGTCTGTCTGGCAAGCTACAGCCCACGAGGTCGCAAAGAGTTGGACATAACTGAATGACTGGGCACACGTGCACAAGAGCATTCTTACAGACTTGTTTTCAAATGTTAGGTGTTTTTTTTTTTTGATCTGTGGAAAATAGCACCACAGGGAAGTTTCAGCTGACTTTCTCTTTCTTTGGGTGAATTTGAGTGTCCTTTCATATATTTAAAGGCCGTGTCAGTTTCTATATTGTCTGTTCATATCCTTTGTCTATCTTTCTATTGGATAGTTGGTCTTCTCAATTTTTGCATGCATGCTGCATGCTAAGTTGCTTTAATCATCTCCAACTCTTTGCAACCCTATGGACTGTAGCCCTCTGTCCATGGGGTTCTCTAGGCAAGAATACTGGAGTGGGTTACCATTTCCTCCTGCAGGGACAGAACCTGCGTCTCTTACATCTCCTGCACTGGCAATGAGGTTCTTTACCACTAGCGCCACCCGGGAAGACTTTATTTTTGAAAGTTCCTTATATATTAAGGAGCTTAACCCTTAGTAATAAGTGGTGAATAATTTTTCCCCACTTTGTCCTTTTGGACCTGACTTTGAGATATACTCCTTTAGCTTGTCTATGAGATGAGGATTTAGCTTGCCCTCTGGACAAACTGAAAACAGTGTCATCCAAGAGAACTTTCTGTCATGATAGTAATGTTTAATACGTGTGGTGTCCAAGAAGGTTGCCACTGGTCACATGTGGCTGTGGAACATTTGAAATATGACTAGAACAACTGAGAAATGGAATTTTTATTTAATTAATTTATATTTAAATAGCCACTTACGGCTAATGGCTGCCCTTTTGAACAGTGCATTTCTAGAATGTATACAAAACAATATCCCAAAATGTGTTGCCACAGTCTGTACTGTAATAATTGTTACATACCTTCCCAGAGTTAAAAATATATTCTCCTACACAAAGAGAACAGAATTACCATCTCAAGTCACCTAGGTGTGACTCAGCTGAAAACTGGGCTCAAAACACAGACCGCCAGTGAAAGCAAATTGAGACTGTAGGGTGGCTCAGTGGTCAAAACTCCCCATGTCCACGCAGGAGACAAGGATTCAATCCCTGGGTCGGGGAGATACCCGTGGAGGAGGACACGGCAACCCTCTCCTGCATTCTTGCCTGGAAAATTCCTTGGACAGGGGAGCCTGGCGGGGTTCAGTCCATGGAGCTGTAAAGAGCTGGACACAACTGAGGGACTGAGCGGGCTCCCCAGGCACACAGGGCCTGAGTCTGGGCTGAGTTTTGAAGGATGGGTAGGAATTGAGCCCAGAGATGGGAAGGAGAGAGTGACTCCAGGAAAAGAGACCCATATATGAGACCGCTTATTTTCCAGGAACCACAGAGGATTCTGTACCACCAGAAAATCAAAGGGCCAGGGGTCTTAGAAGTGCAAGCCTTGAAGCTGGAGAGCTCAACCCAACCGAGGCCTGGACTCCAGATGGAGACCTCCTCAGGGTCTGGCAGGCCGTGAGTCAACCTGAGTTTGTCACAGGATTGCTGAAAGCTTCAAGGGGGTGATAAACAGGAAATCCTTGATGCAGCAATACCTGGCACACGGTTTGCAAGCCTGAAAAAGGAGCAGCAGGGAGCAGGCAAAGCTTTTTAGTAGGCAAGAGAGCTGCCCTGGTTTCCAGTATAGTAAGATACCATGCCGTTCTGCATGGAGAATAGTCCCTTTCCTGAGACCTGGGGGGCTAGAGGAAGGGCTGAAGCCCCTACTTTCTTGTTTTTTTCTAGGCAATTCTTGCTGCCACTGGAGAGAAATCTGCTGGGTCTGATCTGAGACCAAGCCTCAGATTCTGACCTTAAGTCAAGGGGAGACGTGAATAGAAACCCGCAAGAGGCAGGGGAACACTGCTCTCTAGAGCTCTGTCCTCCCGACTGTCCTCTGGGCCTTGCTCCAGTGGCCTGAGGCACCAGGCTGCTCCTAGGGGGTGCTGGACAGTGGGGACGGGGCAGAGGACAGACAGGGATCACACTGCTGGCGAGTCCTGGCCTGAAGACTGCAGCGGCCTCCCACTGGGCTCCCAGTGGCCACTTGTGTCTCCCCCAGAGGGCATTATTATTGATTCCCAAGGGATACATAAGAGTCCCTTGGCTAGCAAGATGAAACTACTCCATCCATCCTAAAGGAAATCAACCCTGAAGATTCATTGGAAGGATTGATGCTGAAGCTGAAGCTCCAGTATTTTGACCACCTGATGCGAAGAGCTGACTCACTGGAAAAGACTCTGATGCTGGGAAAGACTGAGGTCAGGAGGAGAAGGGGGCGACAGAGGATGAGATGATTGGACAGGATCACCGACTCAAGGGACATGAGTTTGATCAAACTCCAGGAGATGGTGATGGACAGGGAAGCCTGGAGTGCTGCAGTTTATGGGGTTGCGAAGAGTCAGACCCGACTTGGCGACGGAACAACCAAGAGCAAAGGGATGTGATCCCTCAGTGGGTCCTTTGCCGGAAGTTGCAAATGCCAATCAAACAAAACCGGGCTCCATATGGCAGAGCAGAAACGTAATCATTGAACTAGGATGGGAGAAGGGAGAGCTCTGCCCTAAAAACACCTTGTTCCCAAAGGGAGGGGAGAAAGGGAATTTTCAAGGTGTAGGAGGCAGGGCTTAAGCAAAGGGACAGAGATTTTCAGGGGCAGCCTGGGGCAGCTGGGGCACGCACAGTCTTCCAGGCTTCTTTGCACACAGCGCGGATTGTGCCTAAAAGAATACAAAATCCCACCTTGGGAGATCCTAGCATGGTAGTCAGCAGAAGTAACTTGCAGACACCTCCAGGCCTTACATGTGCAGACAGTTCTGTGGTCAAGTCAGAGCTGGGTCACGGATCACTGCATGTCTCTTTTAAGAACAGCTGCAAAACATATCTGTCAAATAACAGGTGGTTTTGAAACAAACACAGAGGCACATCAAGGCAAAGATCCTCTAGCTCAAAGAGGCTGATACAGGTGACAGCATCTACACTGATATTCTTCTTAAAAGAAAAAAAAAAAAAACCTTTTATTTTGTAGGTTAACAGTGTTATGATAGTTTCAGATGAACAGCTTAGGGACTCAACTATACATATACATGTATCCATTCTCCCTCAAACTCCCCTCCCATCCAGGCTGCCACATAACATTGAGTAGAGTTCCCTGTGCTATACAGTAGGTCCTAGTTGGTTATCCATTTTAAATATAGCATACACTGATATTCTTTAAAACAAACAAACCAAAATATTTTATATTACATAGAAACACACACACTCAAAAGGGAAAAACACATTATATGGTTAGCTTTAGTCATTTCTAAATAGTAAAAATGGATATTTTTTACTTTCTATATTTCTATAACTTCAAAAATGTTCTTTGACTATCTATTTAGTTTCATAATAGGAAAATAAATGATTTTTAAAAGAAGGAAAAATGGGAGAGAGAGAGAGGAAGCAAGGAAGTAGAAAAAGGCAGATATCGCAGCACTGCACACATTTCAGAATGCTAAGTAAATTATCCATCAGTTTACTGAGCTTGCCTTTTTTCTTGTTTAATAAAAGTCACCCATATGTCTCCTATTTATAGCCAAACTCAGTTAATTACAGCATTGTTTGTGGTTGCTTCTGGGCAGGGTCAATATGGGTAATTAGATCTTTTACAATCTTTAGAAAGTTATTCTCATTTCTCATGAAACATGGATGTCAGATGCAAATGTGCATCAAGAAGGAAACAGGATGAGTAATGTGGATGAATAACGTGATCCCAAGGTCAGTGGAATGAGTGACTTAGGCACTTAGAAAGATAACTCAGTCACAGTTTATCATCCCTGAATAACCAGGAACAATAACTTTTCAAGAATTATTTAGAAAAAAGTCTCAATTCTGAGGTCTAACAAAGCCAGGTGCAGTAAAGAATCATACACTCTTAGAGCTAGATGGACCCTTGTTGGTGTTGTTTACTTGCTACGTCCGAGACTCTTTTGCAATCCCATGGACTATAGCCCATCAGGCTCCTCTATCCATGGGATTTCCCAGGCAAGATTACTGGGTTGCCAATTCTTTCTCCAGGGGATCTTCCAACCCAGGGATCAAACCCTCATATTCTGCATTGCAGGCAGATTGTTTATCACTGAGCCACCACGGAAACCCAGATGGACCCTTAGGAGTTGTCAGACTTTGCTCTAGCACTGAAAGCTTTTCTTAAGTCAACTCTTAAATAAAAGCTCAATGCTGTAACCTTTGAGTAGTATGCAGAAAAAGTAGGAGTTAGAAAACAAACCTGGGCTTGAATTCCAGTTCCATCACTGGGACGAGTAACTTGACCTGAACATCTGCTTGTTTATGAATAAAATAAGGATGATTAATACTGACTTCAAAGACTGGTTGTGAGAACAAATGAAATCACAGCCTCGATATGGCAGGTGGTATTAGCAAGGGGGGAGGTGGTGTAGTTTGTTAGTCCTCTCAAAACCAAATACTATGGAAATGAATTTGCCCCTTGGAAATTAACATTGGGGCTGACATATGCAAAATCACTGAACAAGTCTGAATAATTTACAGTCCAGCAGAACTTTTCCTGTCTGATTGAATTTATTAACATTTAAAGGAAGAATGTGAAGCTCAGAAGGAGGTGTTGAGTATCTTAGAGGCATTCCACTTGTAAACATTTTTCAGAGGAGCTTTGCATTTAGCCAATAATCTCCTCTTTGGAAAAGACCGCGATGCTGGGAAAGGTTGAGGGCAAGAGGAAAAGNGTATTCCAGTCCCTGTGGCCATTATTTCAACGGTAAATTCATGAGTTGGTATTTAAGTTTTATCCATCTGTTCTATGAACGTACTAGATATGACCCTGCCCAAGAGATGAATCTGCTCTTTTTGCTGATAAGATCACCAAGGTCTTAGATTGGGGAAATGCACCAGGGCAGTAAGTGGCCTCTAATGAGAGGGACCTTAGAGCCTAGCTGACAGCCTTCTTTGATGGGACAACTCAACATCACTGTGTGGCTACATTAAATGTTCTTCAGTTTTATTAATAGTTTCCGTATTAGTCACTCATGAAGTGTTCATTACCTCCCTTTTCTATCCCAAGGAGTTTTCTGTGGTTGGATACTCCCTGAAGTAGTCTCTGAGACAAATACTTGTGTGCAAATAATATATTTGCGAGGTGGTTCCAGGAAATCCCAATAGCAAAGTGGGGGCAGGAGACAGGAAATGGAAGAAATCCAGTGAAGTTTACGATAATAAGCAGATCAATGTTGAGGGCAGCTGGGACTCTCAGTCCCACTGGGAACTCAGGGAGTCAGTGGAGGGTGTGGAACAAGGTTCCTCACCCCCTGGTTCCCAGGGACACGGGAGAGGTGACTTTTTTTCATTCCCCTCTCTCTTTGCCTAACGTTGTTTCCTGGTGCATCAGCCCATGGCACTTCTGGTTGTTAGGGCTGGAACCTAGAGAGTGCTTTCAAGTGAGAATCACAAAGGTTTCCAGTAGAACTGTGTAGGCATGTGCTAGAGGGCAGAGCGCCCAAAGGAGTGAGGGTGATGGATGGGGCAACAACTGGCATCTGCTACCGGAGGTAGGCCATGGAAGAATAAAGCACAACTGATAACTCGCACATGCTGATGCTGACTAGTAGTACAAGCTTGCATGCTCAGTCATATCTCAGACTTTGCCACCCCAAGGGCTGAAGCCTGCCAGGCTTCTCTGTCCCTGGGATTTTTCCAGGCGGTAATACTGGAGTGGGTTGCCATTTCCTTCTCCAGGGTGTCTTCCTGACCCAGGAATGGAACCCACATCTCCTGCATTAGTAGGCAGATGCGTTACCATGAAGCCCCCAGGGGATTACAATAATGACTAGATGTCATTCTAAATGATAATCCAGTCCACTCAGAGCGGTAAAAGTCACGCAAGACTCTTCTCTGTTGATTAGGATCTGGCTTCCCAAAAGACACCAGAAGGAAGGAAGGAAGGAAGAGCAAATCTGCTACTGATTTCCATTTCTCCGAATTCTCTGTGATTTGTTTCTTTGCACCTAATGATGAAAAGCTATTCTATCTCCTTCAAGGTATCCAGAAAGTGAAGCTGCATTTGGGGCACATTATACATGAGGAATGATCTGTATGCAATGAGTACAAAAATTAGCTGCAGACTTATTCCCTAAGTCTTTACCAGGTACTCCATTAGCAGTACCTAATTAGTAAAATGTGGTTTGCCACACTAAAATGCTAAAGGTGAAGTACGACAGAATTTAAACCAGCAGATATAAACACAGCACCTAACTGTAACAAACAAACAAAAGAAAACAAAGACTGGAAAAATCAAATACTGAGGAAGAGCTGCCTCAAGCACGTCTCACCTGAAGTGATGAGTGAAACGATGACTGTAGCAAGTTACTCCCCCAAGCAATGCTGAATCGCCATAGTACAGCCTCGTGTTCCATTAGCATCCCGTTTCTGTGTTGGCAGAAATCAAAGCATCAGGGTCTGCCAGCTGACCCCAGTACCACACAGGCAAGTTGATGGGTTTAGCACGCACATCCAAACTTCTCAGTATTCAAAGGGCAAGTAACATCACGTTTTTTAAAATGTTTCTGTTTTATTTAAGATCCACTAAAGACTTCCCCACCTACCCCAAGTCATAAGAAATCCAATGCCAGTTATTTGTTGATGTGGGTCCCTGTCTCTCTTCTCGTGTGTGATACAGAACACCCACAGGGCAGGAGGGAGGGAGGCCAGGCTCACGGAGATCTGAAACCGTGTCTACCAGACGTCAGTCTTGAGCCGGGGAAAGCGAGAGCGTTGTGGCCCCGTCTCGGCTGTCCTTGCTCCTTCAGCTGTGTGACGCCTTGAAGGAGTAGAGGGGCACCTTCCCATTCTGACCCAAACGATAGCGGAGTGTCCTTGTCCAGCTCTGGGCCCAGGAGGGCAGCTCTCCGGGGACTCCAGGACCTCAAAGCTAAACCGAGCCCCGATGCTCCACACAGTGGTCTCAGGTCACAATGCCCAGCCCTGCCCTGCTTTCCCTCCAGGCTTTTCTCCCAGATCCTGCTGGCTATGGGTTTCCCACCCCCACCCCACCCTCAGACTCAAAGTCACGACTTCTCTTCACTCACCTGTTTTGGACAAGGCATCATTAAGATTCGTTAGCCTCTTCTTTGGTTATTTCTACCTTCTCTCTCTCTCTTTTTTTGGCCTGTAAATATGCATATATATAAACATAAACTCAGGACGAGAGGAGAAGTAGAGAAAGTGACTTGGTGATTAGGTGGTTGGAAGGGTCACACATTTCCAAAGTCACTCACCACAACTAAAAAGCACAGCAGGTTTCAAAGGCATCTGAATTATTAAAAGCAACAGAAATAAAATTCCCAGCCCAGAATCCCACCAGAAAGCTTCAGGAGTTTTTTCTGTGTATGCATAGGGGCCTCCGAGAAAATCGTCCTTGCCTTGATCTCCTTGGCTGTCAGTCTCATTTCATAGGCCTCTGATTTCAGTCAGTCTTTAAGTCCCAGACTGCCCCCCAACCCTGATTCTCATCAGCAAAGATTACTTTAGTCAGACTATACCATTCATGTGATACTTAAAGACACAAAGAATTCACAGGGATTTTTCTTTTAGATGTCATGGCTTTGAAGTGTGTATTGTATTCCCCCAAATCCACTCATTTTGGTTTATATACAGTTGAGCTCATTTTGATTTATCTACAGTGCAGAGAGTGATACTTCTGTTGGTTCTAAGATCATTTGAAGATTCTCACTGGAGGCTTTTCTGGTTCTCTGAGATAATATATATGTATATATATGTCAGCAATATTTAACATTTGTCTAGTACAATTATTTTCAAATCTCAGGGAAGAATTGCTAGAAGAGTGTGTTAAAAATCACAACCTAAGATTCTAATTCAGTAGGTCTGGTATGGGCCTCAGGAATCTATATTTGTAAAAATGACTTTCAGATGCAGAGAGTTATAAAAAGATATACTTCCTGTAAAACACTTATTTGATACCATCTATGTGTCAGACAATTTGCTAAAAGCTTTACTAGCCTTATTTTGTCAAACCATTACATCAATGCTGTGACAAAATATATTACTAGCCTCATTTTATAGATGAGTAAACAGGGTCTGAAAAAGAGAAATTGAAGCTCAAGTTTATTAAACAAGGATCGGTTAGATCAGAGATTGAAATTAAATTATACATCTACATGGTTACAAAACCGAAACTCTTTCAATTATATTATATTATAAAGTAAATTCTAGTGTTAAAAGGATATTTCAATTCTAGCAAAAATGGCAGTTCCCTACTAATCTAATACTTTTTTGGGGGGAGGGGGAGCCCGCTATACAGTTTGGGACCTTTTAGTTCTCCAACCAGGGATCGGACTCGGACCCATAGCAGTGAAAGTACTGAGTCCTAACCACTAGACCACCAGGGGATTCCTCCTACTAATACTTAAGTTAAAAATTAATCTGTTCCTTAGCCATAATTTATGAATTAATCAAGTAAGGTTGCATGCATGCATGCTAAGTCGCTCCAGTCGTGTCTGACTCTTTGCCACCCCATGAACTGTAGCCCGCCAGGCTCCTCTGTCCTTGGGATTCTCCAGGCAAGAATACTGGAGTGGCTGGCCATTCCCTCCTGCAGAGGATCTTTCCAACCCAGGGACAGAACCCTCATCTCTTATGTCTCCTGCATTGGCAGGCAGGTTCTTTACCACTAGCGCCATCTGGAAAGCCCCACATAAGGTTAGGCCATGATAACAACCAACCCCTGGAGAACAATGACCTAATGCAGATTCCTTTTCACTTACAATCCACGCTCATCTTGAGTTGTGCTGGGGGCTCTTTTCCATGTTGTCCTTACACAGGGGCACGAGGTGGCAGAGCCACGAACATCTGGAAGGTCACTGCTCCTCATGGCAGGAGGGGGCAGGAAGGCAGGAAGGAGCCAGCTCTTCTGAATCCATTCCATTAGCCAAAGCAAGTGACATGGCCATGCTTAACATTCGGTGGGTGGGAAAGTCTTTCTGCTTTGTGTTCAAAAGGCAGAGAGCTGGAAACATGTGTAAACAGCACAAAGCATCCCAGATGGACTGGAAACTACCAGACTTGGAGAAAGAACTGAGTTCAAATTGTGACCTCATGATTTACTAACACTATGACTTTAACCAAGTGAGTAGATTTTAGTTCTCCATTTCTTAAACAGGTAGAATAATACTTAGAATAATACTTACACCCTGTGGTGGTTGTGAGAATCAAACTAAATATGTACATTCAAACAATTTAGTGCCTGAACCGTGATAAATAATGCTTTCATTAAAACAACTGAGCTATCAGAGCTTCCCTTGTGGCTCAGCTGGCAAGAATCTGCCTGTAATGCGGGAGACCTGGGTTTGATCCCTGGGTTGGGAAGATCCCCTGGAGAAAGGAAAGGCGACCCACTCCAGTATTCTGGCCTGGAGAATTCCAGGGACTGTGTAGTCCGTGGTCACAAAGAGGCAGGCACGACTAAGTGACTTTCACTCACTCACTCACTAAAACTAATTGAATTAGAAAAGATCACTTTTCTGCCTATGGTTACATATCCACATACCAGTGATGTTTGTGATTCAGAGTTGTTACTTTATTTGCATGTTTAAATTCAGAGATGGTGTCTAATGAAACTTGGGAAATTGCTGCATAGGGAGAATTGAAGGCAGTTAACTTGCTAGTGGGAGAAGCTATCCTTGGCTGGGTTCCTCAGTACACAGAGTCTGGGGTGAAGACTTGTTTGTAGGAATGGCACCCGGAAAGGGGTGAGAGAAGTTGGGCTGGGTAAGAGGAAGGCTGACCTGTGATGCAGGAATTACGGAGTGTCTGCCCAGCAGCTGGGGAGTTGAGATGGTCCTTCAGAGGCCTTCTGGATCATGGCAAGGGAGCCAGGCCTGACTTTGGCCCAGGTGGGCCCTTAGAGGGACGTTTCTGGAGAGGGCTTAAGTAAGAGCCCTCACAGGGGATGCTCACAGCAGCTGGGGAAACTGGAGAACTCAGGGCTTCAGGCCTGAATCGAGGGCCCTAAGTAACATGCCGTGGGATCGACCTTTAAACACCAGCCTGGAAATGGAACAGGTGATAAAACCAGAAGACCCCCAACTATGACTTATTATTTCTCATTAAATTGTGCTTTCATTTGAATAGTGAGTTAGGTGAGGTTTTTAATGTTTAGTATTCTAATATATAAACAATGAACTTTATAGAAAAATATGTCATTGGCATAGAAGCTGAATCATTTTTCTCTTGCCTTTCTGTTGTCCTCATCCAGGAATAATTGGCCTCCCAGCGACCATCCCACCTAACATCAGAATGTTAGGTCTAATGTCAGAAAGGAGGTTATTCTCATGACAGTCACCTCAGAACCAGCTCATAGAAGGCAAAAATTCTTACCTGATCTATTTCTATCTTGGCTGAAATACTTTTCAAACTTGTACTTCCTAGACTGAATATCAGATTTCCCCCAAAACTTCTTAGAGATGTTTCCATGAAGCATAGACATAAGATAAATATGATACACCTTTTGGAGCATGGACATGGCTGGATGACTTGAAAAGGTGATAGGTAGGGGAGTAGACTTAATAATTTAACGCTTTTTCAAATAAAACAGCATGTATACTAAGGGTTACAAAACTGCACATCTTAAAGATAAAATAATATTCTTTAAATAAGATGTAAAGGAGTGTTTATACTAGAGCATTCAAACCACATAGATACATAAGTTCATTCTGCCACACCTTTAAGGTGATGTCACTGGAAAAGCTTGAGAAGCCGACTCTAAACCTTTATTTACTGTTTTCCCATTATTGGCTGATCATGCTTTCAAAGTTCACAGTTTTTATCCTGAAGAGACATGTCGCCAGCAATTCTTTCCTTGTAAATAGAACAAATAAAGGAGGCTTGTTATTTCCATAGAGCACTAAAGGTGAATGACATACTGTATCCTTCAAAGGGGCTTTCTGTTAGCAAACCCAGCAACACTCCAAAGAGATAGGAAGAACTCTCCATCTCAAAGTGTCTTCCAAAATAGGATCACTGTGGAATGTAAGTGAGAATAAGATATGAAATAGTATTTGTCAAGCATTTTCCACAAGCTAAAAATTTTTTCACAGAAGTTATCCCCTGTCATCCAATTTTCAAGAAATATTTCTGACCCTGATCTGATGAATGAAACTGATGATCTGAGGAAGAAACTGAGGCTTAGAGAAGTTAAGAAAATGGAAAAGAGTTTAAACATAACTTTGCTTGTTTTCAAAGCAACTTTGCTTGTCTTCAGCTCATGAATCCCTGTAAGCAAGCTGTTGGCAAAAAAGTTAAAGTCTTTTGACTAACACAGGAGAGGTAGGGAAAGTTGTCTGGGCTCTGGGATTTGACAGATGTTTAGATCCTGGGTCTATTGTGTACTAACTCTGTGACATTTGGAAAGGACTTAATATTTTTGAGCATCAGATTTTTTATCTAGAAAATGCAAAATAGCAGTTGAGTTGTTAGGATTAGAGTGATATATATAAGCACACAGCAGAAATCAAGTAAGTAATAGTAATTATATATTATATTTTATAATATATATTATTATATATATTAATTATATATAAAGAGTAATTATATATAAAAATATATATATTATATTTGAGATACCTAAAACAATCTTCTAGGAGATTCCACATGTAGTTTTATATAATTCTTTGAATGATGAATTCAGTGAATGTGTCTAAATGAATGTGCTACTCCTCCTTACCACTCTACTTAGAAAGAAACCTACTGGAGCCTTGGCAGTCACCTGGGGACCCTGGGCAGGGGAGGGGAACATTCTGACTGAGAGACCCCGTGTCCATGTAATTGAACCTGCCCTGAAATGCCTATGCTTCTCTCAAGCAGTTGGTGAGAAATGAAAGTTGTCTGGGCTCTGGGATTTGACAGATGTTTAGATCCTGGGTCTATTGTGTACTAACTCTGTGACATTTGGAAAGGACTTAATATTTTTGAGCATCAGATTTTTTATCTAGAAAATGCAAAATAGCAGTTGAGTTGTTAGGATTAGAGTGATATATATAAGCACACAGCAGAAATCAAGTAAGTAATAGTAATTATATATTATATTTTATAATATATATTATTATATATATTAATTATATATAAAGAG